TTACTAAACATTATTTATATTATTCATCTATCAACTGGCATATTATTACATGCACGTTTACAAAATTGTTGTTTTGAAGAGAATATATTCTTATCTCTTCAAGGAAGAGTATCCAATCAACAAAAAAATAAAGTATTTGTATTTGAAGAACTAGAAATATTTACATTGAATCTTGATCCTAGGACATCTTTGGCTGAAACTGAAGTTGTTAAGATTTTGTATCTAAAACGGATTACAGATGAAACACCTGATAGCTTTAGTGATGCATTTAGGATTATAAGAGTTCCTATTAATGAGGCTCAGAATGCACTTGCTCAAATTGTAGTGCCACTAACTACAATACCTCAAATTATAACAACAACAACTAAAAGAAGTCGTAGATCAGATAAGCAACCATGTAAGAAGAAAGCTATAATATTGATTAATCTTAGTATTATTTCTCAAGAACTTTTCACTCATCCTACAGGACTACCGATTCATGATGATATATCCATGCAAAATGTACCTTTAATTCTTATGAAAAATAATCTTGGAATTGGAAGGAATAAGATCGAGTTGAGTAAATAATTATCTATTTTGTATTATACTATAGACAATATTTCGAACAAACCATCCATTACAATAGATGAATCATTTGCATGTATGATTATATAAGCTCTTTCTTGCGAGGAAGATGATTTTGAACCTCAAACCATCGAGGAAGCGATGCATCGCTCTAATTGGTTAAAATAAAAAACTATCATTGAGAAAGAGTATGTTTCTTTGCATAAGAAGAAAGTCTTTGGTCTAATTGTGGACACTCTTACTTCTGGCCATGTGGAATATAAGATGGTATTAATACACAAGCAAGATGCTAAAGATCAAATAACCTACTATAAAGCTTGTCTAGTTGCTCAAAGATTTATCCAATGATTTGGCATTGATTATGAATCCACATATTCTCTAGTCATGGATTCAATTATATTTCGATATATTATTAGAATGGTAGTTCATGCCACCTTTAAAATGTGTGTCATAGATGTCGTAGCTATGTATTTATATGGTTCACTTGATGTAGATATTTATATGAAAGTTCCAACTGGTTTGGAAATAGGAACTCCAAATGCACCTACTCTAAGACGATATCATGGTATTAAATTACAGAAGGCCTTGTATGGTCTTAAACAATCTGGATACATGTGGTATGAACATTTCTAAGTTTATTTAATTATAAATAAATTTGTAAGTAATCCACTAGTTCCTTGTTTGTTTATGAAACAAGATAAAAGTGATTTTGTGATCATCAGTGTATATATTGATGACCTTAACCTAATAGGCACTAGATATGCATGTATTGCAGCTACTAACCTACTTATACATGAATTTGAGATGAAAATGCTAGAAAAAATAACTTTTTGTATTGTTCTTCAAATTATGCATCTCACAGATGGTAGCATTTTTTTCTACCAACTAATGTATATTAGACAAATCTTATGGAGATTCAATATGATTGATGCTTATCCATTGTCTACACCAATGGTTGAACGTGGTCATGATGGTCATGATCTATATTGCCCGTGCAAAGAGGACGAGGAAATATTAAGAGAGTAATATCTATACCTTGTAGCAATTAGAGCACTTTTATATTTAGCCACATTTACTAGACCAGATATTACATTTGTAGTTTCTGTTCTTGTAAGTCACAATGCATGTCCAACACTATGACATTGGAATGGCATCAAACATTTATTATGTTATTTAAAAGGTACTGAAGACTTGGGATTATACTACATACAATCTACTGATCCAAAATTGGTTGGATATTATAATGTGAGATATAAACCTAATACTCCAACAACTAAATAATAGTGCTTGTGTTGCACAGATGAAAATTAGTTTCATTAAAGGAGATAGGACAAAGCATATTAATCCAAAGTATTTGGATTATATCCATGACTTGATTACTGATCAAGCACTTATAATTAAGTAAATTGAATCCAGAAATAATCTTGGTGATCTCTTCACCAAAGCTCTCCCATTGTGCAACCATCGCTGACTTATAGCATTGGTATGTGGCAACTTGCTTTTCTTGAATAAAAAAGTTAATGAACTCTTTCAATAATTAGAAAAAATGATGTTGCATTCTTTTTTCTTCATCTGTGGTTTTGCCTTTAAATACAATAAGGTTTTCCTAGATAAGGTTTTAATGAGGCAACAATTATTGATCTTGCGAGATTACAAAAAAATATAGATCCTAATTCTATACAAATTTTATATTATGTAAATATTATAATGAGTGAGGTGGAGTGTTGAGAATATTAAATATAGCCAACGCTCTCCATAATATTTATTATAGTCTATAGTAAATACTATAGCTACAATATTTGGAATGTAGTAAAGAGAAACTGTTTATCCTCTCTCCTTATTTTTTTGTATACAAGACACAACCAGATCAATAGATTTTGTATGAAGCTCTCTCTTTCTCCTTAGAAACTCTCTTGTGTATATATTACTTACCACTACTCTTATGTCTTAAATCTCATAATTTTCAGATTTGAAATTATGAAAAAGTTGAGGGATATGTGTGCTATGATCAAGAATATGGAGATATTCTTGATATTTAAGAAAATTTGAGGGGCACTTTTGAGTTTTTTCATTAATTTAATTAGATAATTTTGTAATTTTATCATAAAAATCTAATAGTTTGATGAATGTTTTAATTGATTATAAATATAAATTTTAAAATATTATAAAAAATATTATAAATATTGTGTTTTTTTATATTGATTTATGTATCTTTTGAGGTATTTTTTGCAGTATTATTTAAAATTTTAAATTCAAATACATAAATATGTATAAAATTTTATGTATTTTTTAAAATTGATGTTATATGAATACTTTCTAATTTATATTAATTGTAATATTTTAATTTAATGGCTTTCAAAAAAATAAAAATAAAATAAACCATTAACATATGCATATGTATATATTGAGTGTTATCTTGTAATAAACATGTTATGATGGAATTATGGTTTGATTTATACTCTTATTAATCATTGTCTTATGATATAAGAATATATATATATATATATATATATACATACATACAATAAATCTCCAACATTGTTGTTCTCATCATCTATAACTTCCTCAATTTAGTAACATTCTTCTTGTTTTTTCATAGTTTTCCTCTAACAAAATTACTTCCTTACTACATCTCTTATCAGTTATTTTATTTTATTTTATTTTAAATTTAATTAATATTGTGAGTAAATAGACATATTATAATTAGGAGATTCTTAAATAAACCTATGCTTTTAGTGAATAGATCCACCTTTAATAAAGAATATACTAATCATGATGAATTTGGTTGGTTTTTATTGGTTGCACATCTAATAGTAGGAAAATAAATCCAGATGTTATTTTATTTATTTATTTTCTTGATGGTTAGAATAAGAATTTAATATAAACTTGGATCTATTTAAGATTCTCTTGTAATTATATTGTGTGTATGAAATAAATTTATAAAACAAGATCATATAGTTTATTATATAAGTGACATAAATTTGTAAAACTTTATCATATAATGTGTATGTAACAATTTTTTCATAAACATTTGTTATTTTTTCTAATTTAATTGTTAGAAGAAATATTTAAAAAATCATAAAATATTGCAGTTCAAATATGGCTCATATTTTATGTGAGTTTTTCTAAAAGACATGTAATGGATATCAATCAATAAGCCGATTTTGTGATTTGTCGAATTTATAGAACACAAATAAAGCTAACTTATTTGTTGGTGAACAATTCAACAAAACGAGATAATTTCTAAATAACATGAGTTCAAGTATGTAATATATGATTACGTTTTATTTAGCATATGAATACTTTATCATTATTCTAATTGATATTTTAATAAAAACCACACAATTTGATGAAGTATCTTGCTCAAGAAGTTTTGAAATAAGTACATCTCGACTGTAACTACAAGATTGTTACCACCTTACGGACCACTCCGTGAAATGCACAGCATCAATGAACTTAAAAGTCATCCACAACCCATTGCTTTTTGGCATAAGGAAATTGATAAATCGATTCATTCTCTTACTAAATCGACCTATCATGTGACAATTGGCATGACGGTCATGCGTTTCATTTTTTTATAACTTTGTTACGTTTTGGTGAAGCTTGAAAGAAAATCATTTTCAGCGATTAAACACGCACAAAGATCACTCTTGTCAAGTGATGGGTCAATTCAGCAAATGGGTGGGTCGATACAACAATTCCTTGTAAGTATTCCATGTGAAAAGCAAGACAACCCACTTCCACACTCCATAGAAGATAACTACTAAATTATTATAAAAAAAAATCGCCTTTTTTAAAGTCAAACCCCCAATATAAATACAGACTTTTAAAAGCCAAACCTGTTAAGCATTCAGCTACTTCAGTTGCAATTGTCAGCCAAACTGTCCACCTTAAGGAACATCAACCTGTTATACCCTATTTTAAACCCTAACCCATCTTGAAAAGAGCAAATATAAAAGCCTCCAGCATGAGCTCAAAGCTTATCAACACGCGCTAAGCGATGTCGATGTTCACAAGCACTACAATATGTGCGGTGATCGACAACGGAGTGTGGCTGAATCGATGCTGTGGAGAAACGCAGATTAGCTGGCAGCGCCGGATTAGCGACTGAGCTGGTGTCAGGCGATGGATCCTGACCCAGCTAGAAGGAAAAAATTATCTTTTTGGCATGTTTATTTATTATAAAAGAGCATCCCTCATTGGATCGCGTGCAGATAGCCGAAGTCCGCCGAGACACGCCGCTGGGTTCATTCGCATGCAAAGAATAGCAGGGCCAGGTTGCGATTTTCCTACGTCGGCATCGTCCATAGCATGCCCAGGGTGTCAACGTCGACGCATCGCGCAATCTGACGCGAATGCCAACCCCCTCCCCTGCAACTTTCTATTTGATTCCTTGGAGCAGTGGCGCCCACGGGAGGTTTAGGATCCGTCTGGGTCCAGTCTGGATTGCGGCTGTGCGTAGGCTAGATCTGGGACTAAACGCGCAATTAGTGCTTTAAAATTGTCAGTTTGGGATGGCTAGATTAAGCCTTGTCTGAAAAAGCAAACAGTCCGTGGGCCCTGGTTTCCGAGTTTGACCTTCGGAGTCATGGTCCAGGTTGGCTCAGGCTCTGGGTGTTTGATGACCATTCTCCGCAGTTCTTGTCGTTGTTGCTCGTTGTTGAAGGATGTATCTTCTTTATCTTCTGCTCCAGAGTTAATTCTTCGTTATCAGCTCGTCAGTAGTGCAGCAGTGGGCCCCTAGTGATGAATATGGTATTTGCGTGATGGAGTAGTTTGGGCAATGATGCGCGTGTAGTTCGTTCATTCAACCATCCGAGTGCAACATTACATGTGCATTTGTGGTTTCAAACGTGGGGATGACTCGATGCAAAATTTCAGAGGAAGGTGTTGAGGATGGGTGGTTGAGTGCGTGCTAGTCGGTGAGGCGCGTGTTTTGGAGAGATGGTAGTGGCAGTGAGACGGATAGGGGGAGGGCTAGTTACTTGCTCTCATCGCAGTTGGTTGCTTGATCGGACATAACATGGGCTTAGCTGAGAGAGCGAGTTTGTCATCTCTGTGTGTGTGTTCTGAGCAGTTTTGACTCAATCTACGTATATCTTTGATCGATCAAGAGTTGACATAGATTGTCTAGGAACCCGTGGATTGTGATTGAGATCTTCTTGAATCATTACTCCTCTGGAGGTTTGTGTATAGTCTGTGAAGGGAGACTTAGGAAGGATTTTGATTTTGGATATGAACACAGGGCTTGTGCGTGGTCGGTTCTGTTGGCAGCCAACCGTATATTGTAGCTTCCAATACGTAGCTTGGAAGGTTGTTACGTGAGACAACCCAACCGTTGCTGCTGTTGGCCAGCTGAGAAATATCACCAACGTGATTTCGAGGTGGTGAATATCGAGACCAGTTGAGGAGGATCATTACTGCCCAGTACTGATTTGTCAGTTGAATTACCTCTCGTGTGTGCATCAATTGTTCATTACACAAGACCCACTGCTAGAACCGTGACCTAGGCAGAGCTTGGATTGGTCGAGCCTATGGAAGATTGCAAGACTCTTCGGTCAGGTGCGCAATGGATGTGAATGTGGTATTTTCTTCATTCACTCATGCAATTCAATCCAGATAATTTCACATCTAAGGGCGAGAGTGGGAGGCAATTCAGAGCGACAACTATGAAGATTTGAGGTCTATACCTCGCAAATATGTCAAAGCAATGTGTTGGAATCAACGACTGCTTTTCTAACAAACCGATGGGCGTGCAGCTGAAGGTGGTCGTATACAATCGTGGCTCAAGAATTTCCGCGCTCGTAGATCGTCGAATTTGATTAGACTCAATTTGGGCGACGATAGGTATTTAAGTAGCACCGATTTTCAGATTTAACCCGTTCGCTTACACTTCGTTGGAGATCAACGCAAGATAAGATGATTATGAGACTGGTCACCTTGAAGACAATTTCTTTTCGTGGTGTTGCACTTCTACTCTTCATCTTGATTTTATTTTACTCAGGTATTCTCATGTTTCTCCCTATGAAGGATTCGTATTGGGAAATTGAAATTTACTCGGACCTTTCCCAGCTGGTGCTACGATCGTATCCTGAATATGCTAGTCTATGATACATGTTTTCCCGTTGATCATTTCCAGAGCTTGTTGAGGAATAAGGTGCCGGAATTCGTTGTGCAATGGAGTGTCAATACTGAGTGTATCGAAAAGGAAGCGCGTGTTGAATAATGAATCGACGTTCTTTCGAGAATAGTGACTTCAAATGACGAACTTCTCAAAGAGCAGGTTGTTACAGCTACTGGCTGGTGTTTCTCTCTTGGCATTGGTATTGGGGCGGCCGTTACCAGGTGAGGAGACCAGAAGCTTGGCAGATGCTCCAATGGATGGGGACGCAACGGAGTCGCATTCGTCAGCCTTCAATCGCGCGGGTGTCTACTTGTTGGGATTTGGTTGTGCAGTGTTGCTGGCTCTGACGATCTCGGTGCTGGCAGTCTTGCACTTACGCCACAAGAGGAGGATGGCAACCGTGAGTCCGTGGAGGCAAGGCATGAGTGGCAAGTTTCAGAATGAGGCTGAAGTCGCGGCCTTGTTGCTAGAGAGGGAGGCATTAGAGGTCGCGTGCGAGGGCTTCAGCAACATTATTGGTTCTTCTTCGGAGTGCGTCGTATACAAAGGAACACTCTCTAACGGTACCGAGATTTCCGCGACCAGTATACAGACGGTGGCCACTAATTGGAGCTCTCAGAACGAGATGTCCTTTCGATACAAAGTGAAGGCCTTAGCGAGAATGAAGCACCCTCACCTTGTCAACCTAACCGGTTACTGCACACATGAGGACCCCTGGACGCGGATTTTCGTTTTCGAGTACGCCAGCAATGGAATTCTTTACGACCACCTACACAACAAGGACAACGAACATTTGAACTGGGCCGCGCGGATGCGTATCGTGCTTGGCGCTGCGTATGGACTCAAATACATGCACCATGAGCTTGTGCCGCCTGCGACTCACTTGAATTTTGGTGCGGACTCCGTGTTTTTGACCGACGATCATGCAGCGAAGCTTTCGAATTTCGGGCTGATGAGTGTGCCGATAAGCAGCAACAGTTCACAGAAAACCAGTTCGTTTACACTTAAGTCAATTAAGCATGTGAACGCAGAAAGCCCCGACTTACAGAGTCCTGGCTTCGACTTCGACATCCACAGCTTCGGCGTATTCTTGCTTGAGGTTATCACGGGCCGGGCACCTCAGAGAGAGGGCGCTGCTTCTCTTGTCGAGTGGGCAGGCGAGTATCTAAGCGACCCCGAGATGATGTGGTACATGGTCGACCCGACACTGAAATACTACAACCACGACGAGCTAGTTGGGCTTTGCAAGATTGTCGCACAGTGTCTATCCACCGAGACGCAACGTCCATCCATGCTGCAAATCTGTGACAAGCTCGGTGAACTCCTCAGGCTCACCCCAGCGCTTGTGGCGGCGAAGTCAACCGCTGCTTTGTGGGCTCAGCTTGAGCTTCAAGATACCGTCTCCTCAGAGATGTAGTACTCACGATGATCTTTAGCATTGTCGTTTCTATTCCCATGTAGATTGGGACATTCTTTGGCAGATCAGAATGCACAGAGTCTGCTCATTGTTACCGACGTGTCGAATTATTTTAAACGAAAAACCAGTTCCGGAGTGAATAGGAAAACAGTAAAAAGGAGATGATTTCAGAGCACTGAATCCAGTTCCTCATCTTGTGTGCTACCTTTGTCGGTCCCTCGATGGAGTTGTATTATATTGCATGGGTCACACAGCAGACTTGCAGCAGCTTCTACGACCAGTCTGAGCATCTGATTTATGGGTCATCAGCGGTCCACGACACTGCAGCCATTTGTCGGCCGACGGGTCGAAGTTTTCTTGAGTTCGAGGATGTAGTTGATTCAGACTTTGAATTGTAGTTGACCAGTCTGTCGGTGAACCTTGATTTAAATTCTTTGATTTGATTTTCCAGATCGTTTCTGTTTGTAATTAACGAGCTTTGTCGATAAGTTTCAGTTTATAGGTTCTATACCGCATTGTTTCGACAGGATAAGATTTTAGTATTGGATTTGGTTATTTGGATGTTGTATCTGGATTATGTTGTGAGCTTGTTTGAGTTCCTATTTATTTTGTGCTACATCTATGGTAATGTGAATCTTATGTTGTACTGATTATATAATTTTTATAAAGTATCAAGATTTATTAAAAAGCTGCTTTGTTAACTTGATCTATTAGCTTGTGAATTTCATGCTTTTGCATCTCAAATTCAGTAAAACTAACAAACACTTAAAGATCAGCTATTGATATTTCTCAGCACACATTATTATATGCATGACCTTTTTGGATAAAAGAAAAATAAGGATAAATTACCGAGGTCTTACTAGAGCAATTTGTTTCAATTTTTTTTTGTTAAGGTTGAAGAACAATAATGCACCTTATGACTTAATCTATTGGTAATTAGAAGGGTTTCTTTATTTATTTTTAAATTATTTATCAGTGTTAGTTACAACAAGTTTTGACTCAAACAATATAAAGTTTTAAAATAAAACATTGATTTGTTTATTTATGATCAAAATAAATGTGACACATAAAATTGTGTAATTATTTTTACTTCAAATTATTTTGGTATTATTAGGGTAATAATCAAAAGTAGATAAGTGGGCCAGACATAGACTATACTTTATTGGATAGTAGGCAATAACAGAATTTGGCATAGGCACACAAGCCAATACAACATGAAACTTAAGCAGATGCAAAAATCATGAACAAAAAACTCAAGAGGGTGTGAAAGTCCATGAGGTAGACAATCCATTTTTGATAACTTAAGCATTTTATGATATATTTGCAGTAATTGCAAAAAAATAAAAATAAACAATATCCATATGTAGGAAAAAAGAAATGATGAGGATTCCAAGTGTTTTCACACAATTAGGTCCAAAAACGAAATTTATATGAATGTTTTAGGTGAAGGTTCTCTTTGATCCATTTTTGACATATATGCCAACCTGATTTCGACATGTAGTAGGTTACAAAACAAAGAATCCAACTTTATAAAATTGAGAAGTGTGACATTTAATTATGGTATATTATTTGATCCCAACCAATCAATAATTGCCACCTGTATAAATAGTTCATGCATTCCCATTTCAATTACAATAAGTTTTATTTATTACTCGCAGTTTAACATCAATTTAACCAGCCCTTGACTTATTTCCAATCACAACTTAACATCATTGTGACCAACCTGACCTATTTCCGACATACAATTATAAATAAATTGAAATATTAAATGAAAAATTGATTATTATCTATTTTAAAATTAAAAAATCATCATCAAATAAAATTATAAATAATTGACTAAATAAAAAGTTATTCATTATTACTTTTTTATTTTAGTTATATAAATTAAAATAAAATAAAATCATATTATTATTTATTATAACATCTTTGTAGTTTATTGTAAATTCTTTTATTTTAATTTTGTAAATGATGTTTTTGTAGAAAAATATTATCTATTCAAGATTTTAGACAAAACCAACATTTTATTGATATAAATCTTCCTACTATTATTTGTTATTATTTTTTCTTTGTCTTTGTTTTCTTATGCTTTTATCTCAAGCTAGGCTATGTTTTTCATTTTTGAGTAGTTCATAAATTTTTTTATTATTAGAACTTACTTTAATTTATAATTTATATTTTGTGTTTTTTTTTAAAATTTTAATACTTTGTGCTAGATTTGTAATAGATTAGAATTTCTACTAGTATAATTCTTCAAATTCAATCAAGTATTAAAATTCAATAGAAAATATTTATATTAACTTAATTTTTATTAAAAAATAAAATATTTTGATTTTTTTTATACATACTTTTATCAATTTTATATTTAATAGTGTTATTTAAAGCTATTGGTAGTATATTTATCTTTAAAAGAGGTAATTTATAATAAAATTATAAAAATATAAACATAAAATATTAGTTAGATTAACATACCATGTGGAAGCTTGTGGCAAAAATTAATTGGATATAAATAATAGATAAATGTAAATTGTTCAAATGTTTAGTGGTACAACTTCACTAATAATTGATTTATTTGTATATCTTTTTAACAAAAGCATAATTTACTTTATATTATAGTTATTAGTCTAAAGATTTGATGATATTTTTTAAGAAGTTTTTATTAATTTTGATTTGTTTAATGGTCATTTTATACGATATAATTTAATTTAATAAAGACATTTATATTAAGATATTTATCATAGTTGATTTTTAAAAAGATTTAATAGGAGGTAGTGATCATATATATATATATATATATATATATATATATATAATATTTGTTACAAGCAAACTTTGTCAATGGCAAAAATATTAATCAACTTATTTTCTTAAAATTATACCAAAATATAGATATTACTTTAAAATTTGTTCAACATGTTTGATTTGACCATTTGTTTTATAGATGATGTATCATAGAAGGATTGATGTCAATGCCTAATAAATCAAATTATTAATTATAAAAATTTGAGGAGAATTTCAATACTAAATCTAAAACAATACTTTTTAGAAATCTTAATGGTCATTAAATATTTAGGACTAAAAGCCTTTATGTACATAAAATTAACTTTTATTAGAAAAAAATATCAAATTTTATAACTATTGTCATGTAGAATATGTTTTAAATAATATTAGAATAAAAAATATAAGATATTAAATAGAATATTATAAACTATTAGCAAAATAATTTAAATTTTTACTTGCTTTCCTATATAAATTGTCTCATTTTTATTTTTATATTTATGTCTATTATTATATAAATCAAATAACTTAGGTATTATAGAAGTTTTTCAAATTCTTTTGTTCAAATGCATCTTCTAAGTAGTTTCTTTTAGATTATATAATCCTTTGTTATTACAATCTTTGACCAATTTATATACATAAAGTATGAAAATAATCTCTTAATTTTTTTTACTTTAGAATATATAATGTAAAGAATATTTTTTATTTTAATTAATAACTATAGGATCTGATTTTTGTATAATTAAAATTTACACATCATAAATTAATTTTTACTTTAATTTATTAACAATAAATAAAAATCTAAATATTTTTTTAAATAAATAAATACAAATATTTTTATGCTAATATATTGTTATTAGTTTTATTTATTTACTTATTTTTTCCTATACTATAATATCTAACCATCAAAGACTAACACTCTAAGGAACATAAATTAAATTGCAATTCTAGTAATCACACCAAATATATTCATTGGTCTAGACGACTTTTATACTTAAGAAATAAGGGTAAAGGCTTCAACTTTAAATATCTTTGAGAGGTTGAAATTATAATACCTCACTAAGCTTATAATTATACCTGAAAAAATTGATATGATGGCCTTCAGAGAAAAAAGTTTAGATAGAATATTTTTTTTACATGGCATGAACATTATTATTCTAAGGATGTGAAAACACATCTACTTTTAGAGGTAGTTTTTACAAAAAATTGAGAATTTGTGTGAAAATTTGCAAACAAATACCTACAAGTTTTTTTTATATTAAATTGATCCTTTCAAGTTTGTCAAATTTATTGGAATTAAGATATAAATTTTAAAAAATAGATTTGTTAAAATTAAAAAATAAAATAAAAATAATAAAAAGAAAATTTTCCACTTCTTATCATCTTTTTCTTTTTATAATATCTCAAGGGTTGAGATTTTTTAAAAAAAGTTTATTGTACTAAGAAGTAGATCTTTGTAAAGTATTTTTACCATGGCCTTTTCAAAATGGACTTTTAAGTACAAAGATCCCTTTATTAATATTCTTTACTGATAGCACTAATCATTGATAAAATCCTTCCTATGCAACCATCAAAGCATCATACTATTATTTCAAAATGAAGAAAACCATTGAAAGTTTATGTCCCTAATATGATTCTATAACTTCAAATAAGGAATTCATACCAATTTATTTTAAAAAGACCTTCAATAGAACATAGTTTTATTACTTTTAGTTTATTTATAAATAATATTGTGTGGTTTATATCAGTGCTTAAGGACCACATGACAAGAAAGCAAAGATGGATGGTAAAATAAAATAGACATCTTTTCACCAAGAGGCTCATCCATCCATGGATGAGAAATGCTCAATCATCCACTCTGGGGGCATCAGTCTTGTGCCCCATCGAAGGAGCCCCTTGTGCGGCGGGGTCTTTCGGCGGCTGCGTCGCACACAAGCTCTGAGAAATGTGTGTAGGCCATTCGGTTAATCGTCATGAATGCCGCGAGACTACGGTTTCACCTTGCGTTGTTTTAGATTCTAGAAGATGTCTGATTTTGGTGTTTTCCGGTGTGGTACTGAGCCTCATCTTGCTGTGGTTGCCAGTAGTGCTCTCTAAGTGCATGTTCGTAAGTTCGGAGTTGCTGCAGGCTTTGTTCATTGGCGCGGTCTATTGTAGAAACGGTCTAGGTTAGAACTGTTGCAATAATCGGTGTCTCGTTGTTATGCAGTGGATTACAGCAAGGGGCAAAAACTGCACCTACAGTAGTATGATTTTTCCATTGTATGGAACAATAGATCATGTTTCAAGTGTGCAACATTTTAGAAAATTCTCGGTGGAGGGTCACTTATCGGTAGTCGATTGGTAATTCTACACATAATGACTTTTGGGTCTCAGAGGAACGTTTGGAGGGGGACTCTGGTCAGCGGGAGATGAGAGGCGGCATTCCTAGACATCGATGCTGCTGCGAAACCTGATTCCTTCGTCAATGATTTCAGAGAGCTTTGTGTGCTCCTCTCAGGTGGAGGGATCCCGTTGCAGAAGCCAAAACCGAACCCACTCCCAGAGCTTGTGACGGAGACGATACCAGTGAAAGTGAAATCTTCCTCAGCTGAGAACACGGTGTTGACAAACCATCCCTCGCTGTCGTGGCCGGTAAGAATCTCTATCAGTGGTTAGGGCAGTTTGTTTGGATGCAAACATGTGACAAAAGACCCCAATTCTTTGCGCCTCCAAGCTTCAGCTACACTTGTGAGGTTGAAATTTGCCGACATTGATGTGAGAAACTTCGTGTCTGATCACCTCGAATTGGGAAATGAGTTCATCAACCATCGGGTCACCAAACGACTTGTCACCAGTGTTGAGGATCCAAGTGATGGAACCTATCTCTTGGAATTAGATTCAAGTTGGTTGTAATTACATCGATTCGTTTCTTTCTGTGGTGTGTTAAAGGAAATTTGCAGGACCTTGTGATTCCCTTTCCTGTTCAACAACTCTCTGAGAATTTGTTGTCGAATCTCGCAGAAACTGGCTCTGGAAAATTAAGAAGGCGACCTCTGAGCATTGATTACAACCATGGAGATTTTTGAGACCAACGTCGTTTGAATTTAACCTGCACGTTTCCGAATCGGAGAACTTTGGCACCCCGGGGCCCATCCTCCTACACAACGGGAATAAAAAACTTATGCTCCAGGGCTTTCGGTTACCAAGAAGTTTAAGATAACAATAGCGCAGATAACAAAAGCGCAGATTACAATGCCTGACAAGACTTTCATCAGTTTCTTGTGCAATTCATGGACCTATCAATCCAAGAAGGCTATGTAGAAGGTTAGAATTTCTTTGCAAACCACGTGAACTAACCATTATCGATCTCATCATAGAGGGAAGCTTATTCACCAAGTTAATGAATGTAAATAACTCAGGGTTTTAACACCATCATGTCCTTCGTTGTGTTAATTGTAGGTGCATACTCCCACAAACATTCCCGCCGGTTTGAAGAATTGAAGGTAGAACGAGTTGAAGGAGTTGCAGGGAACTGGAAAGGGGAGAGGTAAGAATGAGACGGAGTCTATGACCACGATGTACCACTTGGGGAAGCGTCGTCGATGGATGAGCTCATTAGCAACCAGCATCAGCTGCTCCAGCGCTCCAGTGCATTCGCCTCTAGTGATAACAAGGATGTGATCAATTACCTCGTGCCAAGAGTCATCGCTGGTATCTAAACCATCGCTGATACAACATTAGGCAGTCCAGAAGCTCGTTGGAATAGAATGACAACTGTGAGCGGTCTCTCTTTTCTCTCAAACGTTTCATGGAATTGCGTCTGATATCTTTAGTGATTCTTTGTGGTAAAAGCTGTAAGGATGCGTCGACTGAGAACATTGAGATCGATCATCAGGTGTTGGCCAGCACGAACCCCTTAATCATCGAGATTCTCAAGAATTTTTCACTCAAAAGGCCTACATCCGTTACTATCGAAACTGTTGAGCTTCAACTTGAAGCCTCACCATCCGGGAGGTGAGATTTGAGGCTTCGAATCACTGCACATGTTATTCGGTGACATATGTGTAACTAAGATCAATTGGTTATGCACAAGCAAATCCTGCTTAGAAGTGGTCACTGTTTGTAGCAATGGTGCTATATCCAGGCCTTGAGCCTTGCGTTTTGTCGACCACGCTCTTCCAATGACTTATTCTAGAGGTACGCGTTTCTTCTGGCTTCGCCTACCTAAAATCTTGTGTTTCAAGTATACTGCAATTCGGTCGTGGACATGTTTTTAAATACTGCAATGGCAATTGTAAGTGAGCAGGGGTAGGGCGGTGATTGACTCACGCGCTCCGCACGGGTTGAAGCGGATGATCGGTTTGCACCCACATGCCAAGGATAGACTTGAGCTCTGGATACCAATCGGAGCACAGGTGAAGGCCCACATTAACCTCTTCTACACCGGAAACAAGGAGTTTCAAGCAGACGACGACCTTCAAAACTGGTCGACTAATCTGCGAACCAAGGGCCACGCCGAAGTGAAAAACGTTGAATGTCAGACGGCTCGAAGGACAACCTGGTGCTGATCATCACGACTAGTCTGGGTTGCCTCATGCCATCACGCTGTAGTAAACTTTGGCGAGTATCTGTACACAGGCTTCATGCTCAAGTATCCCTGTATGACTCACAAGCTCATCCTGGAGTATTCAGCTGGGAGTGGGAGACCATGCAAAAGGACCCAGAAATATCTCCTGTCCATGCTTCGCTGATGCCGTCATGAACAAACTGAACATGACCACCATATAGATTCTCTCCACGCATGCTTCCAACGAGGAGTACTTGTGAGAGCGCGGTGAGGACTCGACCGACGATGAACGAGTTCGGGCGGCGCTCAAGCAATCGTGTCAGAGTCGACGTGATAAACCTCCTCATTATGGAAAGGAACTGTGACCCCAAGAAAAAAAACCGGCATGGCCCCTGTCACGTTCCTTGCGAGCTCCTGTTGTCGAAGTCTGGTTTCGGACTCACAAACAAGGGAGTCCCAGATGGCATCTCTATCTAGCGGCCTTCATGTTCATATTTGTGAATGCGTGGATTAAGCATTCATTCGATCGAAGTGAAGATTACTTATTCTGATCAGCTAAGATATTTATGTGTATAAATAACAAATAAATAAAACAATATCTTTCATAATTTGCACGTCAAGTAAAAGTCCTCGCCAATGAACTTGTCAATTAATCGGTTTTCTATATGTTTTCTCCGCTCGAAGCCATTCTACACTCAAATGGCCTTCATCCGTAACGCAAAAAACCTGAGATAAAGGATACGACGAGATGCCCGCAAGCTTCGACGAGCAGTTCTTGCCACCGACTACAGAATCATCATGCACGGCATTTTGATGAAGAGATTCGCGAGAAAAGGTACAGCAAATTCCAGAATTTTGCGAAGGATACCATGTTGCAGACAGTTCAAGATCGAAAATACGAACAGATAATCGATGATTGCCGACGACAGCCGCAGAAAATCTCCCCCGCTTCCCTGCAAGCTGACCGATCTATTCGGTGGTGAAACGGATGCGCAACAGATCTATTCATCTTTCCGGAAGTGGTTTCAACGCCAGCAAATTCACTTCGATGCAGGCTCAATAATACATGCGTTGCATCCGCACAGGTATCGGCGGCCGGTTGTCCATCCAGTACGAGACTCCGTGGCTCCACGGATTGCTGCCATGGCGATATGCAGGACCGCCCGGGTGATTCATGGGAGGAGGTCCAAAGTTGGGAGAGTTCCGCTCGTGGAAGTAGGATCTGCGGCGTGGAGGACTGGTGGAGCGTCGTGAATGGGGTGAACTGGAGAGATTGGAAGGCACATAATCAGGGTAGAAGGAATCATCGCCATAGAAGACGGGCGGAGGTGGTGGTGGAGGAGGGTGAGGCCTCACATTCGGCGGGTAGGAAGACTCGTCTTCGTAGTACATCGGATCAGCAGGAGGGCGTGAATTGGGTCGAAATTGAGAATGAAGAGGTGGACCGTAAGGGCCGTAAGAGTCCCTGGTGAAGACGTGAGAACGGGGAGGAGGTTTGATATGTGCTTCGAAAATAGTAGGCCGGTGGTACGCGTACGAAGGTGGAGGTGAAGAACTAAAGCTCTCAGGAGTGGGAGGAATCTCAAGAGGGTTGCTGTAAGAAATGATCTTCGATTTGGGCTTTACTTTCTTCACCTTCTTCAGGAGACGGTCTGGGTCGGCGGTCCCAGTTACCTTCACAATCTGATTGGCAAGGTCACACGCGATGTCGCTTACCCCTGCAACAAGCACAACCCACCAGACTATTCAATGAGAATCCCGCGCAATTGATCTTATTTTTCCGTTTACCATCTGTCTTGTGTTACATGATTTGACGAAATGAAGTCGAACAAAATTGATTGAAAATTTTGACAAGTGAATTTCATTGGCATTTTTCATTAAAAAAATCTGAAGGAGAAGCTCACCTTTAATCTTGAGTGCAGCTACGACTTCATGGACATCATGCTCATCTTTCATGGGCACCCTGAGGTGTACAGTCTGCGATTTGATGACAAGGTTTTGTTGATTAGAAGTGCATTCGTGCATCAAGCCACAATGCTAGATCCACCAAGACCTGTAAAAATGTACTGAGTGATCTTTTACATCCATTGCAATGTTCAGAACGTTGCTTCTCGCAATTACTACTCAACACTGTCCATCACAACCGGATGTTTTCACTCTATATCACTCGTAAAAATAATAGAACGTGAATCGGTGTAGTGGATGACTAGTTTCGTGTTAAGAGGAACAAGACAGGCGCGCGAGTGTTGTGAAAGAGAAACAAGAGATTTTCAAGGTGACTGACCGGGGGCAAATGAGGTGGCTGATGTGCTGAGGATGGAGAAGAATCATCTTCACTGCCATCGGAGGAAGTATTGTGAGCTTCATGTCTGCTCCCATGGTTGCTGTACTCACAGGTGTCGCGTCCAAACAAACGCACAAACCCGGGCGTTTTAATCTCCAAGATTTCTTCCTCTTCGACAGGTTTCGACGGTTCGTTGCACTTTGAGGGGTTTGGAGCACAGCTGACCATCTGTCTCCCCAAACTCTCTGGTGGCTGGGATGCATTGACACTAACCTCATGCTTTGATTCCAACACTTTTTCCTCTTTGGCTACGTTGTGCACAGTTTCGACGCCATTAGGTTTGTGCTCATCGTCAAGCTCTTCTGGATCACCAGATGAGAAATGGGTCGTATCAGCCATGCGATTCGGGATAAAGCATGAGAGGCTTTTCTTCGAAACTAGCTGAACAGAGGAGAGAACTAGTTAGAGCCACGAGCCACCAAAGATTCTTAAACCATTCACACGAGCATCGATCAACCTAAATTTCGTACACTCTGTTCAAGCAGCGGGCAATTCTGCTCGTGGTGAAAATTGAGGAACTGAGGTGAGGAATTTGAGAACGTCGCGAACCATCAGTTTTTTCAGCGTTGACATCTGACACCTTGCTCCCAAGAATTTGGATCGAGACGAAGAGGATGGGCAAGACAAGCCAATTACCCTTGCTCCGAAAGCAACCAGGTCCTCTGGCACTGAAAGAGGTACTCAAAGTGTTGGGTACAGACTGCCAACTTACAAGAGCAACGGGACGTAACCTAATCGACCGCAATCGCTTAAAACTGATAAAATAAACAGCCGTTGTTCTACAATCTCGTCCAATCGAAGACACCAGCTACAAATTGATGTCATCAGTAACGACGAGCTGACGTTGTGGACGGCAAAAAGAGAAACACCAAATCCCAAACTCGTCGCCGTTTTGCAAGTCTCCGAAAGCATTACTATCTCGAGTACGAATTCCTGAAATTGCTGACAAGCAGACACTCAAGCAGACACCCATCTCCAGAAAAGAAGACTCATTCCAAGTGACACTGCAGGCTATGACCCGAGTCGCATTACTTCCGTAGTCCAATCACGAGTGGGACCGACCCCGCATAGCTTAAACATCTACCACCCTGATTTTGACGTCGAATTTGAACGTACACAAAACCAGCCAGCTATTATTGAATTAATGAACACAGGAGTCCCCCCACAAATTGAAATCTCTGTGAACGGCGCGCCCCAATTCAGTGGAGCCTCCTCCGACAGCGTCACCAAGAGGCTACCAACATAAGACCACTGTAATTCATGCATTCAATAGAAACGAGCGGGATCTGGCACGAAATGACCAGTCTAACCACATCAAACTCATGATTCTCTCAGAGCGTGTAACCTGTCCATGTGCAATCTGCAAGAATCATGGAGAGCATCCGGTGGGACCATGAAAGGGCTGAAAAGGCGGACGAAGAAGAGACCCACAAAAACTCAGACGTGCTGGCAATCCAGCTTTGCAGGGAGGTGTTTGTAAAGTATCTTCGAACATCTGTCGGCGATTAATGTTGTCATTTCGGTGTAGTAATGTAGTGGGACCGGAATGAACCCCGCAAGAATGGAGGTCAAAGCCGAATCTAACCAACGCAAAAACCGCCTCGCCACATGAAATGCTTAGAGGAACTTCTGATGACTTTGCATCCCGTGTTTCGATCGACTTCGAAACTTCCATCTGCTTGCTCACGAATTGTTTACATCGTCTGCAAGCCGATCTGCACGCCGAAAACATTCTGCGCCATTTGTTTTAGAATTCCGAATGCGGACAAAAAGTTGGACGACATGGAATATCGTTCAGTCTACGTCTCAATGCAGTGCATTGGAGCGTGGAAACTATTGCAAAACTTTGTGCGAGTGAAAGAATGGATTGGACAATTGAGCTTTTAGAATTGTGTCATGGAGGTGCTTTGATAAAGAGATGGATGATAGTTGTTAAAAGTTTCAGGCAATGAGGAAAGTTTGCCAAGTAACAATTTTTTTTTTGTAGATTACAAAAAATATAGATGAAAGAAGTTTGCTGCTCAATTTATTTGGTTATTCATATCACTAAGTTGGGAACTTGGTAGAAAAGGTGACTGGTTATAAAAGTTGGTAAAAGACCAAGTGTTTAAACCAAATGTGTAAACTAAGTTTTTTTTTTTTTATTTTTTTTTTTATATCAAACATATATTACGAATTGTAACTGAAAATTATTTTAATGGAATATTTGATTAGTGAGGGACGGTGTGGAAATGTACTGTTCGATTTTTTAAAAATATAAAATAGTTCTATATCAATCATTATTTTAGGTTAACCATGGTTATGAAATACTTATGCTAGTTAATAATAAGCAACATCACATTCTCTTTGGCACATTATTGTACAAATAGGATAATTAAGACACGAGTAATACTAGCATTAGTTAATAACATGTGTTCACAATTATAAATATTAAATAGGTTATATGTTGGTAGCAGCAAATATTAAATACGTCATATGTTGGTTTCTTGTCCATTTGTTGTGTACACATAAACACAATATTTTATAACACAATATATCAACATGTACATGATAAAGATTGTTATTGTGCACACACAAAAATATGTAATTTGGTGTAATCTTCTTTGCAATTTGTTGTAGTTACATTCTATATTTGATATTTGATATATTTGACTTTATTATTATTATATAAAATAGAACAGTAAAACAACCGTTACTTATCATGATGACAGTATGAAACTAACACACACGTTCGAAAACTCCATGACAACCACGATACGAGCTTGATAGCTTTACAGGAGCATCAAGTTATAAACTTCAAGACATGACAATGCACAAAAAACTCCTGAAACGATTCCAGCACACAATATATATATATATATATATATATATATATCTCAACGAACTGACCACAAGTACACACTTGATCTCTCAAACAATGCCTTTGACAGCACCATAAACTACATTACAAATGCCCCACACCGGACATCCATGTGTAGGGCACATGAAACAAAACTTCTACAACACTCTCAAACAGTAAAACCAACACAAAACCCAAAAAAACCATCACATCGTGACAGTTAACAGTTGGTAACAGCAAAACTACGACAAGAAATTCAAAACCCACCAGATACTGCACTCAAGATAAAAGAAACTTCCCGGGTGAAAGGTGAAAGCTTCTCAAAATCGTAAAAAGTTAAACACAACAAAAAAAACAACACAAAACAAAACAAAAAAACAAAAAGAACTGGGCAATTCCACAAGACCCTGCAAAAAACAAGGCATGAAACCGCAAAAAACAGAACAAAAAACAAATAACAACTATACATAACAAAATCCCACTAAGCAACCAAAATAGCAAACAAGAAACCAACACATATACCTAAAGACATGGACAAAACAGAACGAAACCACAAAAACACAATCGATAAGTTCTAAAATTCAACATAACCACAACCAAACCAGGTAAGATAAAACAGAGCGCTTCTAATAAAATCCACCACGAATACGGTGACAAAAAAAACAATCTAAACAAAATTTAAGGTTCCCAGAAACTACCCTACACAAATAAAAACATAAAATCCCATTCACCAAAAAAAAGCTGCTTTACAAAACTGAGGCAAGAAAAAAGGGGCGCCCCTACAAACGCAACTTGCTAAAGGATGCCCTAAGCTGAGCAACATCCCTTCTTCAGGTCTGGAGCGTTGCTGTCTAGCGGAACAATATTGGTTCCCTGTCCGGGGCCTTCAGTCGTGTTCTCCTCCGAAGCCAGAGCTTTCTTGCTCACGATGCGATATATCTCTGTCAAAATCCTCTGGAATGCCTTCTCCACGTTCGTCGACTCCAACGCTGACGTTTCTATGAAAGAAAGCCCTTCCTTCTCCGAAAACGCCTGCGCATCGTCTGTTGACACGCCTCTCAGATGCTTCAGGTCCGACTTGTTCCCCACCAGCATGATCACAATGTTCGAGTCCGCGTGGTCTCTCAGCTCCTTCAGCCACCTCTCCACGTTCTCGTACGTTACGTGCTTTGTGATGTCGTACACCAGCAAAGCTCCCACGGCTCCCCGGTAGTACGCACTTGTGATGGCTCGGTACCTCTCTTGCCCTGCTGTGTCCCAAATCTGAGCTTTGATCGTCTTTCCATCGACCTGCCATGGTCCACCAACCCACAACACATCAGACCCTCCCCACGTCCACCCGACCGTGCGTCATCCAACCCCCGACCAAATAAAACACTCGGAGCCGCTGGCTCCACAACGACCTATGTCAGTACATGTCAGAACATGTCCGAAACTCGCAATTCTCCCGGACCTCGTCCCCGTACCGCACGCCCCAATCCACAACACCACCATTCCAAAACTCCCCCGCATGCTCAAAAACCCTCCACCCCGTACTCCTCCGACTGTACCTCACCACATTAACTCCGCCGGACACACACTCTCTCCGGCGGCATCGCATGTCGCTCCTCGCTATCATGTGATGCATGCCCTTACGTATCCTGCAAGCATCTCACGCAGATGCGACCCTGACCATGAGCATCCTCGCAAATGCTCGACTCGTGCGAACGAAACCCGCCTCCCGGCTTGCCAGTCCGCCCCTTTCCGGGCGCTCTTGTCATACAACTCCCCACCACAACGGAAGAATCCTAGTCATCCGCTGGAGACCCACCACAATAACACGCCCAATAAACTCCCCTCTCGCCATTCGCCCTCGTCTCAACCCACTCCCCGCAACTCCCCGAAATGACCACGCAACCCCAACCGCCCCTCATTCGCTCATATCACGCAACGACATGCGTCACACAAGGATCGCCCTCCTGGCCATCCCCACCGATGGCGCAATTCACCCGCACAACGTCCACACAACCTAGACCAACAACCACCACCGTCCCGTCCCGCCGGCATTCCCCCAGATCTGCCAGACCACAACAACCACCGTCCCCGATTGCTGGACTGCTCGAAGAAACCGCTCAATCCAAACACCTACCCCTCACACACTCGTTCCGCTCCGCTCCGATCCACTCTCAGTGGATCCAACCCGATCCTCTCAGATGCACCACGCATTGCGCTCTACCGTAACCTCCCCGGACCCTCGCTTCTAGTCACACCTCTACAGCTTCGACCGCAGCCGCACCAAACCCCGCCCTCACGACATTGCATGCCAGCACGGGCCGGACGATACCTGGATAGATCGAGTGGCAAACTCCACGCCAATGGTCGACTTCGACTCCAGGCAGAACTCGTTCCGCGTAAATCTGGAAAGCAGATTGGACTTCCCCACACCGGAATCTCCTATCAGCACCACCTTGAACAGATAGTCGTACTCGTCGTCGGCCTTGTGCGCCATCTTCTCGCCTCGCCTGTGGCTTCCTTCGTCGCTTGCAGAGGACGCTTTCCCACCCGGATGAACCTACCACAACACTGCCAAGAACAACCACGTGCCCTCCAACGAATCAACCACCACAAATTCCACTAAATCACCCGCTGCTCCACACATCCTCGCAAAAATGGAACGCGCAACCCCTACCCGCAGCTCGCACTCGCAGTCCACCAAGGGGGAAAACAACAACCAAATAAAGAACAACATGGAAGCGAAACAAACACTGGCGCCCGGCAGCGTCACGCACGCCATCAACACACCCATACACAACTCGCTGCGGCAAACACTCACAAGGCGGATGAAACACTCACTTTACACGAAGCCGCGGCGAACAGAGGAGCGGTGCGAAGCTCGATCCTCACAGAAAATGTCGCGCGGCAGCAAGCAAGAAGACGAGCAAGCAGGCACCACTTAACCCTAGCACCGCGACACTAAGCTGACGAGGAGCCACGAGAACGAACGAACGAACGACGGCAGAGGAGGGGGGAGGGAGGGAGATCGACGCAGCCAGAGGGTGCTAAGCTGCTGCTGCTGCGAGACAACTAACTCCTCGCACAAATCGCCTGGTTCCCTTCGCGTTTGCCTTTCCTTTGCCTTTCCTTCCCTCCCGTCACGAAGTTCGCGGATCTGCACAATGAAGCCTCGAAGCGAGGGACATGCTTTGGCAGAATGAACAGAGCGGAGCGGAGCAGAGCTCGTGGTTTTTTCCAGCGGGAGTTGGAAGGAAGGAAGGCGGGGCGAAGCCGGAGACCGGTTCCAAGCCTGAGATAGACAGATGCATGAGACGGTTCTACGGCAGATCAGTCGTCCTCTCGTCTCCTCTCTTCGTCCTCTCCATCTGGCTGGTGGGTTTCGGTGCTCTGCTGTGCTGTCGAATAATATTAATTCGTCAGGCAGTGAGTGCCCTGGACGACCCCTTCCTTCATTCTGGCTCACTCACTCACTGCCTGCTTTGAACCAGCACCACCTGCTGCTTACTGTACTCCCCCTCTTCTTTTCTTCTCTTAGGCTTCCATGCTTACTCTCCCTTTTTGTTCTTCCACCTTCTCTTCCCCTACGGCCATTCCAGCTTTCCAGGCTCTTTTCGGAATTATGGTGTCCACCACTAGACTTGGCATTTGCAGAAGCTACTATCATATCATAATATTTTCAGTACTCCTACAATGCAATTTATGTGTGTGCCTTCACCACATGTGCCATTTTCTAAGAAATCTATTCAAAACCGCTAATAGTTTGATTGCAATTGTAAAGCCAATTCTTGCCTTCAAAGAAGTAGAATGATTTTATCTTTTTATGATGCTCTATCAATCAATGTGGTAGAAGATGTAGATCATATAGAATACATTTACACAAAAACTTGAGATTGCTTAGATTTTTACAAGTTTTTTTAGTTTAATCTGCACAAGTTTTATTAAATTGTAGTTTTTCCAATCATTAAAGATGTTCAAAATCTTAGATTTGAATTGTATTCTTGATTGTTATATGTCTTCTTATTATTAATGTTTGGTCCTTAGTTTTGATAGATGTTGTAGATGAGTTTTAAAAATAATATGTGATGCATTTATGGAATTTGTACATCGCTTCATATATGTTTATTATTTTGATCTCTATGTCATTTTGTGATAAATTATAGATTGATCTAAATGGCACTTAAGCTTCTTTTTAGATAACAATTGATCAATCATAGGAATGATGCTCTAAAAAAGCATTTCCATTTTTCTTCTTGAAAACATCTTAATAATCTTAATATTGGCTTGAAATGTACTTGAATTCTTTCCACTACTAGAAATAATTGTGGCATAAATAATGCATGGTGGTTCTTCTTTTGCAACATGTAAAAAAACTCTTGCATCTACAAATACAAGTTTGGTTGCATTAAACTTATAAATTTTTACTTGGTTTATAAAATTCTTAATTATACTTTGAAAAAAGTCAAGAGTATAAGAAATCCAATGTCTTCAAGGGTGATACTTTTTTAGTCACAATTAGCCTAAAACAACTAGATTACATGGAAATCTAGTGATATTAAATATCACAAAGCTATTATGACTATTAATCATTATTTCTATAGAATTGGTTTCATAAGTAATATTTCTAGAAGACAACAAACAACTATCTATGACTTCTACATGTATTGATTTAGTTTTCTTTATTAAAAGTATGTTATATCTTTTAACAAACTCTTGATTTAGAAAATAAACTAAAATTCTTGAATCTAACAAAGCAAAGCTTTGTGATATTTAGGTCCTAAATTAACATCTATTATAAAACAAGAAGTGATTTTTGAAGAGAAAATAAGACATTCAATAGGTATTATACAAGATTCAAGTTACACAATCCTTTTTATAACTAAATAGACTTATCCTTTAATATTTTAAAATTTATTTAACAACCATACTCCCTATATTGTGGAAATGTTGTTTTTTTGAAAAATTTTGAACAATGAGCTTAGGTTTGATGTTCTAAAAAAGTATTTCCATTCTTGTTCTTAAAAAGAGCTCGATATTCTTCATATTGGCTTGAAATGCACTTGAATTCTTTTGACCACTAGAAATAAGTATGGCATAAATAATAGAAGTTGGTTCTTCTTTTGCAACATGTAAAAAAGCTTTTATATCTACAAATATGAGTTTAGTTGTACTAGACACCTTTTCAAGTAAAAATATTAGGTTTCACTTAAAATTTGCCAAAAAGTATGAATGTTGGACTATTGATGATTAAAGTCACATGATATTCTTGGATGAGACTAAGATTAATAGATTTTTTTCCAATTATTAGAGTTTGGTATAAGATTCATAATCCACAAGAACTATCAAAATAGACTATTATTTCAACTATTAAGCATAGTCATGGTTCTGTGATGATATGGAGATGTTTGTATATACATGGACCTGACATGATGCACAAAATTGAAGGTCGCTTCAATTAATATGGTTATGAAAAAAACTTGGAAGCACAACTATATATTATAATTTAAAATTATGATTTAGACGCAATCATATGACCATAGTTTCAATGCTTCTAGAATATATTCATATACATACCTTCTCTATTTATGCCATTTTCTAAAGAACTATTCAAAATTCACAATCATTTGATTGCAATTGCAATGTCAACTTGTAAGTCATCGAATTAACTCTCAAATATATTTAGTACAAAAAATATACTTATGTTGCTTAAAATTACAAAGTTAGTGATTTAATAGAGGAATTCTTAGATAAATAAGAAAATAAAAATACTAGTATAAAATTACAATCTATGATAGAATTTTTTGATACAAATTTCTAAGATAAAAAGATTTTTTCTTAATCTATCAATTATTAGATTATAAGTCCTATAATAATAGTTTATGGTCATTAAATTTTTTATTATTATTAAGATAGAAAATCAAAGAAGAATATTTGATCTTAAATATATATATATATATATATATATATATGTATATGTATATTAATAATCCTAAAAAATAAAATTTAATTAAAAAATTGAATAAAAAAAGTGAAAAAAAGAAGAAACCTAGTAAGAAGAAAAAAAATGAAGAGAAAAAAAATAGAGAAAAGAAAAGAAACGAAAGAATCTTTATTCACCAAATGGATGTCAACCAAATTTCTTATAGAAAGCTATTGGAATTTGGAATAATTTTGGATCCTAGCTACATTTTTTTTTTTTTTTTTTTTTTTTTTTTGAATTATAAATTAATGACAGAGCTTCAAAGTTTTCAATATGCATTCTTTCAATTATGTATGTGTAGTTGGAAGATATCTTTTTGTAGAAGATATAATCTAGTTAAGCAATAATGTAGAAACATAAGAATCAATATACAACATAAGATAATCAATCAGAATAATTATCACAGACATACACATGTAAATTAATAATTACTTATATAATTAGATAAAAGTAGATAAAAATAAGTTAATTCTATAATATCTTCTCTAGAAGCTTCCTAAAAGCTTCATAGATATTACTTTGACTTTATAGGTATCTTTAATTGATTTTTTAGGTTAGAAACATGGTCAACAAGTTGGCTATGTGTCACACATGTTAGTAGCTTGAAAAACAAGCTAACTATGTAGCCTACACATAAAAAACTTACCTTGTAAGTTAAGGCATGTGTCTTAGAAAGTCAACACATATTAAAGGTCCTATAAAACATTATCACGTAGCTCTTTGTTAGATAGTATATATAGAGGCAAGAGTGAAGCCTTCTTCACTATTGTCAATTTTTTTCTTGCTTTTAGTCTAGATTTAAGAGTCTCTAGTTTTTTTGTCTTTTGGCAATAGACATTCCAATTTCTTTTTAATATACATACTACTTTATAGCTATTTTTTTACTTTTTTAATAACACAAACTTTTCAAGTTTATGCATCTTCTTCCAATTCATGGTCTTGACAAATTGACAAGTATATATTTACAATATTAAAGCTTTGGCTTCTCTTGATTAAGAGTAGTTTATTTTTATTTTTTTTATAAGACATAATTATATTAAAAGTTACAGATTACCCTCTTTTAAACTAATATTGTTCTTAGTATCTTCTTTGTTCTTAAGTCACCTCTTCTGCTTGTCTTGAGCAATATTAGACATTTATTTTCTAAGTATTATCATAGCAGAGCTTCTTGAAGAGTGCAATGGTATAAATGCAAGAGCAATTGAAAGAATTAATGCTTGCGATGCATCAACTCAATTTACCACCATAAGAAGTAACAAGAATGGTAAGAAGTGAAGATATAGATATGATTGGAGCTGATTCAATATTTGCATCCAATTATATCCCTTCTTCTATAGAGGAACATCTTTTTGATACTAAAGAACTAAGCGTTGCCATGTTTAAGAAGTTTAATGGTACAAGATCCAAATTTCAAGGATTTATCAATCAAGTACAACTTATGATTGAACTTCAATTCTAAAGCTATCCAACTCCAGGATCACAAGTTAGATTCATTGACACACTTCTTTTAGATTCAGTATTATCATAATTTTCATCTTTTCTTAAACAACAAGATTCAATATTGGATAATTTGGAGGTTTTTTTAGCAAAGTTTCGATCCATATATAGAGAACATGATGTAACTTGTATTACAACCAATAAGATCTATATTTTATAATAAGATAATCAATCCATAACATTATATACTTCATAATTTTGACAACTTATAACTGATATCATGTGAGATGATGTTGCACTTCTTAGCCAATTTTTTTATGGATATAATAAGAAATAAATAAATTGATGCTCAACTTTCCTGATTTTCAAACATTGAGTCAAGCAAGTAACTTTGCTAAAAATGTGACAATTGACATTTCAAATTTTCATTTGAGAGTTAAATAGGTAGATCTCAATGTTACTATAATTCAATGGCAATACCAACGCCTCCTCAACACATACATTCAGAAGTAGAGGATATGCAAATTGACGGTGTCGTATTACGTGCTTTCCTGCTCGAGAACGCGTCGGGCGTCTGGCTGTAGAAGGTAGTATGGAGATTCGCCAATAGTCAAGCAGTCTATCAGTTTTTGACTGTTAGAATATAAACGACTGAAAGAATACACCTTAAATCTATACGGATGTCCTTCGACTGCTCGCCAAAGTCCTTTTTGTCTCGGTCGGTAGGTCTCTTAACGTTACAGAGAACCCCGAACAATCCAAACTATTAATCTTTGATACCGCTTTGTACTTACAATCTTGTATCCACTGACTGTCTTGTTAGATTAACCCAATAAATTTCATTCACTCCGCATACTCAATCCTATAGACATCCTTTTAATTCTTCAATCTCAGACGTAACT